GACAAATCAGCCCATATGAAATAAAAAATATATATTTGCTTTTTAAAAAATCTATTATTTATATATTATATATAAGTAAAATTTTTTTTTTTAAAATTCTTTACTAAAAGAATTATTTTTATAAACAAAAAAATATTAGTATTAATTGTCTGGTTTAATATAAGATTTTTTTTAAAAAAAAGTTTATAAGTAAAATAAATGTAAATCTAATTATCTAATATTTCTTTTCTAGCACTTATCTCATATAATTAAAAAATTTTATTTAAATTTAATAAAATAAAAAAAAATAAAAATATTTTATTTAATTATATTTTTAAAAAAAAATTACTAAAATTCACTTGTAAATAATAGTTATTATTTTCTGATTAGTACTATTTATATGATTATGCAAATGTAGTTATTCCTACTAAATAGCAAATTTTATATATATTTATTTATCTATTTCTAGAAAATTTTGTGGTAAAATTAACTATTAATTATACTATAATAGACTGATTTGAAAATTTGAATAATTTAGAAAGATTTGCATTTTTCAAATGAAAAAAACTTTCTTTTAATTTATTTGTAATTTTAATATTATTTTTTAAGTGTAATAATAATAGTTCTGAAGCTTTTAAAATTCAATTATCTTTTTAAAACCTTTTAAAATAAAAAAATTAAGTGAAAGAAAAATAAGATTCAATAATAAAATATATTATATTATTTTCACAATATATTATAAACCATTTACTATTATATAAATAGCAGGAAATAAATCAATTATCTTCTAGTATGGCTAATTGGAATAGTAAAATTTTACTTAGAATCAGAATATAATCAGCCTTCAACTGATTATTTATCCAATTCTAGTAAAATTTTACTTATTTCTAATTAGCTATAAAATAAATAATACTTATACTAGCATTATAATGTATTTTTAACTAAAATTAAAAATTTAATAAAATATTATTATAGTTAACATTATATTATAATTTTATTATTAATAATATTTAGTAGTATAAGACTAAGTTTAACTTGAGGTGATTTAATTCAGGTGATTTAACCTACTAGTAAATTTTATATAATTATATAAATTATTCAATCCCTATCATGTGATAAATTTGATTGGGCTGACTAATATTTATAGTTACACTATCTGTTTATATTATTTTTTTCGTATTTTTCTTCTTCTTATTTTTTTTTTTTCTTTCTGTTTCGTTTTATTTTCTTTCCTTTTTCCATTCCATTTTCTTTTTTTGTTTATTATTTTTATCTGCTTTCTTTTTTTTTTTTAGTACATTTTTTTTAGGTTTTTAGGTTCTTCTAGATTTTACAACTTCTAATATAATATTATATCTTAATGTGTTAAAAAGATACGTTTTCTTTTTTTGTTGATTTTATTTTTTAATTTTGTTTCTTACTAACTATATTTTTTTTCTTTATGCCGTTCTTTAACTCCTTTCTCTTTAACATTATATGACGCAGTTTGCTCTTAACTTGCTTTTTATATTTGATCATTACCATTTTTTATGAGTTTGCTCTTTAACTTAATTATGAGGGGTTTTTTTTTTCTTTGTGATGGATATCTTTTTTTATTCTTTAATCTTTAGGTTCTTGCTTATTTTCTAATTTTTATTTTTTATTAACTATCTTTTCTTTACTCTATACTATTCTTTGACTTAATATGTTTTACTTTTCTGTCACGAATTTTACTTTTTGACTTCATAGGTTTTATCATTATTTCATTCTTAACTTTTTACATGAGTTTCATTCTTTATTTTTATAGCTTTATTCTTTTGTTTGCTTTGTTATTATCATGTATTTTTTTGTGTATATGTACTATAATTACTAGTCCTGTTAAAAATAAATAAAATGAGTTTTGTCTAATTAATAAACTTTGATTAAATTATAGTACAAAAAAATTTTGCGAATAAAAGTGTTGCAAATTTTCAGTAATGAAAATAAATTATATTAACCAATTAAAATTGATTGATATAAAATATAAATTTTTAGGAAGAGAGTGATTTAACTTGGATTATTTAACCCAGGAGGCAAGTTAGCAAAACTCTATTTAGTAATATTTTTAAAAAAATTAAAAAATAATAAAAATAAAAATAGTAATGAAGAAAATAAATTAAAAAAAAAATTTTAAAATAATTTTATTTATAGATATTAATTTATAGCAACTTTATTACTATAGTGACCCTAATTATATGACTTTATACTCTATTTTAATTAATTAACTTTTAATTAAAAATTTACAACAATTTAATTTGCAAGAAGTTTTTGGATTTTACATAATAAAATAATAATATACTATATGGTTAAAAATCATTTAATTAAAATTTACTAATAGAAAAATATTGTAAAATTTATATTTTATTTTTAATAGAACTAGTAATTTTAATATATAAAAAAAAAATATGATAATGATAAAATAAAAAGTAAAATCAAGATGAAGAACAAAATACATAAAAAAAGTTGAAAAATTAAATAATAATGAAATCCATAAAATCAAAAAACAAAACTTATGATATTGAAAAGTAGTTTAGTTTTGCAGAAGTAAAAATTTCTTTGATAAAAACCATTTTCAGTAAGTAACTTCTTTAAAACTGGGAGTTTTTAGTCTAAATGAGTTTTGAAAGAATTTCTTTAAAGTTTTTAATAACTTAAAAGTACTTTACAATTACTCAACTGACTCAAGTAAGAAAAACTAAGCTTTTTCTTTAGCTATTTTCCACTGAAAAAAAGTTTAAAGATCAGCAAATAAGAAATATAGTTTAAATTTTTATATTTATTTAATATAAAATATCATTTATTTCATTTATTATAAATAGATTTCCATAATATATATCTTTTTTATCAAAAATTCATATTTTTATTAGAAATAATTTATTTATCGCACGTGCGATGCAAATTTTTATGTTTATCATTGCCATTTTAAGGGGGTGGCGATGTATAAGCAGGTTGATCAACATAAATAATTTACAAAAAAGGAAAGTGGCGATGCATCACATGTGCGATGAATAAATTTACTCTTTTTATTAAATATTAATTATATGGAATTGTATAACTTTTTTTAAAAAATAAATATAAATCTATATTTTTTTTATAGAATTGTATTTATAGTTATATAATTTTTTTCATTATTTGTATCAGTCATAATTCTTTTTTACTTATATCATATATTTTTTTCTTACATGTTGATTTTATTAATTAAGATATTAAAAAAAATTATAAAAATTATAGTGAAAGTTTATATTTATATTTATATAATATATAATTAGTTTTAAAAAATCCAATTTGTGCAAAAATTTGTATATATTAAAACTATTTTATAATTCAACAAAATTTATGAATAATTTCTTTTTTAAGTTGGTATTAAAGTATATTAATAATAAATTTTATTTAATAAATATTAATATTAAAAATACCAGTTAATAATTAAAGATTAATTTTACTTTTTACAAATTAGGATTTAAGGTATTTATTCCATTTACTAAAAAGTCTTTTATTTTTTCCACCTTTTATATATTTTGAAATATTTCTGTAAAAATATTATGCTTGAGAAAATCTTTACAAATACTGAATACTTGACAAAATACTATACTTATATACTACTACTTTCTGACAAAGTTGTTGAGATGCTAACTCCTGAAGTCTAACTAACTGATTTCCCATCATCTTTACATAAATGTTAGAACGAATTTTTCATTGTTTAATTTTTCTTCAAGCAAGATTTCTTCTACTTGTTCTTTTATTTCAACAAGAAGCAAGAATTTGGAGATTTATTTTTTGATAATTAATATTTAAAATATTTAACTTATATTACGGACTTTAGTTAATTCGCGATTCCGCAGAAATGTGTGATTTATTTATGGAAAGGGTCAGCGTGATGAGTAGAAGTGATAAATAACACGAAGGCCAAGCACGTAATTCAATGGGCCGAGATGCTTATTCATCACTTGAGTATACTTATGTTACAACACTGCTAAATATCACCATACGCTACTCAACACGCTGACACCTTTTATATGGACATGATCTGCACTATTTCACTAAATTACTTCATGTGATTTTTTCATGTTAGCAAGGACAAGAACGAAGCAACATAATACTACATAAGCTTTGTGCGAAAATCGTTGTTACCCGTTATAGAAGTTGGCTAGTTATCGACTTAGAGGCGTCTTGAAGATTTTAGACTTTTCAGCGGTACATCTATTGCAGATTGCAGTCATAAAAAGAGCCAATCATGTAAAGTCTTTAGTATTTTTTGTTTTAAAAAAAAAATTAATTAATTAATATTAGAATACGGATATCTCCAACATAAAACCCCTCGATTTTCCATTTAAAGAACATCTAGAGAAATAATAGTAATAATAACAAATGTGGATAAATCTGGACATTAAAAATGTGGCAAATTGATATTAAGATATTGTTCTTATTATGTTATTGTTAGAAAGTATAATCAACCGATCCTATCACAAATATAGAACCATAGTCGCACTTATAATTCAGAAAATATATAAGCTTGTGATTGAACCAGAGTGTGCATTTAGGGGTGCATTTAGAATCAAGTGTATTTTTTATATTATGCTCAGTAATATCCGAAATACATTATACACACTTTCTCTGTAGACTGGCGTAGTTAATCCTCTTGTCCAAAATTAATTTAATTCTTTATTTATTTGATATGCTTATAATAAACATATCAACGGCTTATAAGTAAACATTACTGAATACGGTCGACTGAAGATACTCAGAAAGCACTTTAGTTAACCATTATTGATTATATTAAAAAGAAAAAAGGTTTAGCTACAACATATCATATACGTAAATAATTATGACTAATAAAGGTTTGAAACTTTAATAAATGCATTATCTCGTTATTCTAAAAATAATATACCGGAAAAAACAAGATGGTTTCGTGCCAATTTGCCAAATAGTATCAGATGCATCATAACATATATTGTATTTTACATTTATGATAACATATTTGGAATGCAATTGGCTTTGGCGTTTACGTGAGAGTAAAGTTTAATTTCACTCGTTAATTTATATTATAATACTGCGGTAATCAGCAGCCTATGTATTATAATTTGATCTGCATGTTTCGTATTTTTATATTTGAATAATTCATTGTATCCTAAAACAGTAAAGAATGTATGCATGTGTGCTTTATATATATTGTATGTATAAAGCTCCCTTGATAATAATAATAATATTTATAGGGGGGAGAGAAAAACAACGAAAGTATAGAATGAACAATAATAAATATAGTGATACAAGTTTTAAAAGTTACGTTTCATTTTTATTTTTAAACTCCTTGATGAAAACTTGGATACTATCATGCTGGTACGACATTTCCTTTTTTAATTAGGTATGACCGAAAATTTCCGAATTTATTGAATAAATGCTAATCGTCCAACTTCGTTAACAAGTTTTAAACAAAGAAAAAAAATTTTCTAGGGTTTTCCTGAAAGTGTGTCAAAAAAAATTTTTTGGGGTATACCTTTTTTTAAAAAAATTTTTGTTTTGACCTTTTATTTATTTTTTTTATGTAATTAATGTTACATATTATATTAATTCCTTTGTTAAATATTATTCGTCTGTATTATTATGGTAGGGATGGATGAAATATAAATATAGGTCAATTTTTGTGAGGTTTTTTTTTTAAAAAAAATTATTTTATAGAAAAAACCTGCACCTTGAAAAAAACAAAAATAAATTTTGATAATTTTATAATCAAACGAAAAAAAAAAAGGTTTATAAATTTTGATAATTTATAACCAAACAAAAAAAAAAAATTAAAAAGAATAAAATAAGATTTTGATAATTTATTATTTCTAAAAAAAAAAAATAAAATAAAATGGTGAATGTACACGATACTTTATCTGCAACTCCCGAAATATTAAATGGGACGATTGAAGTAACAAAATCTGTGGTTGAATTAGGAAGTAAATTGGACATAGCAAAGGGTGCAATACAAGTAGTTGGCAATGCAGCTGATTCAATCACACCTTTTATTCCTTTGATAGGTTTGGCGACAACAATTATTAATGAAGTTATATCTATCTATCAACAAGCTGAATATAATAAAAAGATAATTAGTGCTTTATACGATAGAACAAAATTAGCAGAATATGCCGTTGATACTTTGCAACGACGCAAAAAATTTTATGAAAGTAATTTTAAACGTCAAGATTGGTACGACGCATTTAATCGTTTCGTGGACGTTTTAAAGGATATTAGAAACTTTGCCAAAGAAATATCTACAATTCGTGGGTATCAAAAGTATCTTAAAAGTTATTCTATTAAAGATAAATTCGAAGAACTTTCGGTAAAATATGACACTGTTATGAAAGATTTGAATTTTACTTTGGCTGTCTCAAACGAAGAACAGAGACGATATGATAATGAATGTTTAATGGATGATGTTGCTGAAATGAAAGAAGTAAGTTTTTTAAAATATTTATATTGTCTTGTTTAAAAATTTGCTAAGTTCGAATATTTTTTTTTTATATTTCGCAGTTTCTTCAAAACATTGATGGTGGTGTCATAAATACCAATCAAATGATGAACACTGTTATTGAAGAATTAAGACTTATGAGAATAAGCTTAGAAAGTGGAAAGGGACCAGTGACAAAGCCTAAACAGATAGCTCAAAGCGATTTAACGGACCCTTTGATTGCAGATGATTCCGATTTTCGTGGTTCTAATAAAAAAATTGTAAGAAAAAGTTATAAAACTACTATAAATGTTGCCTGTATACCTTTTGTATTAAATGAAATGGATCAAGAAGGATACGACCGAAAGGACAAACAGCTTGTCATTTTATCTAAATTGTCTGAATGTACGAATATACTTAAATTTTATGGATTGGCGAATTTAGATGGTTTAAATCATTTAGTAGTGGAATGGGCACAATATGGGACTTTGAGAGAGACTTACGAAGCGTATGATATTCCTTGGACTAGAAAATTACATATTGCAACTGATATATGTCGGGCAATCACTTTCTTACACTCTGCAGAAATTTATCATCATGATTTACGATGCGAGAATGTTATGTTGACGGATCATTTAGAACCGAAACTTGCAAACTTTGAATATGCACGCGGAGCATCTGGCACAACTTCTTCAATTGGTGACTTAATGAGAATAGTTCATTGGTTAGCTCCTGAAAAAATGATCGATAAAAACACTCGATATACTGCTAAATGTGAAATTTTCAGGTAATTTATTTGCATTAATAAATAATTATTTTAAACTATTTAATTAATTTATTAATCCTATTACAGCTTTGGAATGCTACTTTGGGAGTTAACGTTTGAAGTAAGTCCATATCAAGGATGGGACATGGATAAAGTACAAGCACATGTCCTTCAAGGCAAGAGAGAAAAAATTACATTTGGACCCGCCGCTAATGAACGAGAATCAGATATTCAAAAGTGTTTAGAATATGTTATAAGAGAAGGTATGTATAAAATTGATACGTTTTTCTGGATTAATTCAGGTTTATGTAATAATTTTCGTTTTATTTTCTTTTTTTAATTATAAAAGCGTGGAAACAAAAGCCTCAATGTAGAATTTCGCTTCTAAACCTGTTTAACACACTTGAACGATTACAAACCAAATATAAAAATGTGGTGGAACAAGAGTTAGGTTTACTTCCACAAAAGACTTTGGACTTAGATGGTACAGGTACTCCTATATTTAGCGATGCAGATGCTGAAGGGGAAGGAATGGAACTACCTGAATGCGAAAATTTCACGCTTGATTTTGAAATAGATACAATGATAACACTTGAAGAAGGTATAAAGGCGCATAAAAACCGTGATTATGACAAAGCTTGGAAATGCTTTGAATATCATGCATTAAATGGAAGCGCATACGCGAAACATTGGATGGGTTATTATTTATGGGAAGGGAGATCTGTTGAAAAAAATCAGGAAGAGGCTGCTAGATTATTTAAAGAAGCAGCTGATAAAGGTATTCATGACGCACAACTTCGTTATGCATTCACACTTCAAAAGAGCTTAGGTAAGAAAAAGGAACGTGATGAATTTATTAAATATTTAACGTTGGCAGCTGACGGTGGAAATAGTACCGCTCAATTTAATTTGGGGGACGCTTATACAAACGGAAAATTAAACATACCAAAAGATGAGAAAAAGGGACTTCACTATTTGAAATTATCCGCTTTGCAAAGTCATCCAAATGCGGTTAAATTGTTAGGAAAAATGAAAGTAGATTTTAATAATGAAGAATCAACCTAAAAACATTGATTAGTAAATTATATATATTAATTGTACCCATTTTTATTTATTTGTAAATTGAAATAAAATATATAAAAAATTTTCTTGAATTAACCGTATTTGATATATGTTGGATACACTTAATAGATCCAATACTATTGTAAAATAAACAGCTGAATCAAAAAAACGAACCTACCCAATCACCACAAACTAAAAATTATTTAGCTAAAAAGAGTGGTGCTGTGGTGGTATACAAATAACTATTATAAATTTTATCTATTACAATAAATTGAAAAGTGAAGTAACTATATTAATTAACAAAACTTGGTTTTTTTATTATGCATTCGGAATCATTAGTAAAAAGAGAGGTATTAAATACTATTAGTAAAAAATGGCTGGTTGGTAGAAAAATATCAGATATCTAATATATCAAAATTTTTAGTGAATTTACATAAAGTTATATTAAAAACAGGTCAAAATTAAATTTTTCAATTGATATACTTTTAATAAGATTAAAAGATAATCACAAGTACTTCTTTAAAAGTATTATTATATTTTCAAAAAATTAAAGTATAATAATACAGTCAGACTTGTTTACAATCACTCCATATATAATTACATTCTATTATTACAATATTCCAATATTATAAAGCTAAAAATACATTTTTTATATTTACTATCAAACCTTTCAAAATCCTTTAATAATGATTTTTCACCATATTTTCTGATCACATTTTACTGGACTTAATTTTCAAATCTAATTGTTTCCAGTTACTGAATCAGAATTATTAAAAAAATCTAATAAATAGGTTATAAAATACTTTTAGTTAAAATCACTTTTTTTTTGCTAAATTTAAAAAATTATTTTTATAATATTTTTTTATAGAAATTTGTATTCTACATATCATGTATGCTATGTGTACATTTTGTATATACTAAAATTGATATGTAGGAATAATATACTTTTTTTATTTTCAAACATGATATTTAATTTATTAAACTTTTAGTGACTTTTACTTATTATTTTTCTTAACTTCCTACTTCTTTTATAATAAACTTTTTATACTATATATTTCTTTTATTATACCAACATAAATAATACAAATTCTATGACCAGTAGTGACTTTGAAACTAAATATTTTTCTGAAAATTTTCTTAAAAATATTTTAAAAGATAGTGACAATAATAAAAAAAATTAGTTTAAAAGCCTTAAAAAATAATACTGATTTAAGTTTTTTAACTTTAATCTTAGAAGTTAGCTTAAAATTTTCTATCTAAAAGTCTGCATATAATCATATTAAAAAATGGTTATTTTAGTAAAGGTTTTCTATTTGAAAAGAAAAAATAAAGAAATTGCAAAAAAAATGTAGAAATAAACATTATTATATTATTGTCAAGAAATATATATTATTAATAAAAAAAGAAAAATCAATTTAAACCTTTAAAATCCCAATAAACTAATTATAACTGATATGTTGATCTTTTAAAAACAATTCAATTAAAATGATTATTATCAATATATTGTTTAAAGGCAAATAAAACTTTTACTAATAATTTATGATAAATGATATATGTATATAGTTGTTTAAAGCTATTATCTATTAAATAAATATTAAAATTCAAATATAACAGGAAAATTTACAATCAAAATCTTTATAAAGTTATTTATAAGTATCATCAAATTAGTTCTTATTAACTAGATATAATACATCACAATTATTTAAATATTTTGAAAAATTTAAAGAAATAAATGCTTATTAGATAATTTATAAAAATTGGAATTATAAAACCAATACATTAATAAGAATCTTTTGGATTAATTGAAAATTTGATATAATATAGTGATGTAATTCTTAATGATAATACTCACTACTAATGCAAAATAAACTGATATAAAATAGTTCTTTTTTTTTATTATAATACTAGATAATAATACTATAAAATCTCAAATTATAGTATAAGTATTAATAGATAAAAAACAAAAAATACATATATTTAATTGGTTATTTCAATATATACATTAAATACTACTAGAATTATTCTAAAAGTTTTTTGGTAGATCATAAGATATTTGTAAAAAATGGAATTTTTAAGTTTTATTTGATACCTGAAGGTACAGGATCAAACTCCTGATTTTTGCAAGATATCTGAAATACTATGGTTTATAATATACAGTAATTGGCAGAATATTTTTCTATATATTTAATCTGAAACTTTTATTTTAAATTACTTTAGAACTTAAAAAATTTACAATTTTAAAAATTCATAAAATACATTATAATAAAATGAAGATATTTTTTATATTAGATTAATCTTATATTAATAATAAAGAATTTTAAATTAATATTTTATTATTTTTTTAAAAGTATTATTTTATTATATTTAATTTAATATATATTTCTATTTAATTAATTGTCTTTTGGAATTAATTATTCACTTGATGATTTTATTGAAAAACAAAAAATTTAGTAAATTACATTTTAGCATTTTTTAATGTCATATAATCAATTATTGATAAAAAGTCTTTGGGATGTTAATTACATAATATCTTTTAAAATACATCATCTTATTATTTTATTAAATAATAGCATTTATAAAGAATTCTGCTTATTACTAAGTTATGTTATTAGTAGTGTTTTGCACAAATCGATTTGTAATACAAATTGCTTCTAAAGGATAAAAATATATTTTACGAATAACTTTTAATCTAGCAGTTCAATTTCAATGATCATTTTTTTACTTTGATCAGGGTAATAAGAGCTATTAATTAAAAAAAAAAATTATCAAATTGGATTATTAAATCCCAAAATAAGGTTAAATTTTGAATCTGAATCAAATCTGAATTGAATTAAATTCAAAGGAAAAATTTGATTTATGCAAAACACTAATCATTAGTGATCAGTAGAAATTTTACTTTTATATAAAACCTTATCTTAGGATTTTCTTAAATTCTATTGGTTAATTAACTAAAAAGAAAAAAAATTATAACAATATAATATAAAATTTCCTCTTATAGAGAACGTCTAAAGCAGTGACAAATCATGTGACTTTGAAAAAAATTGTTTTTTCATAAATAAATTTTTGATTATTTCTTAATATATACTAGTATATGAAACATGCATCATATAAATTGACTATGAATAAAATTTTATTAATATATGTAGTATGACTATGAATAAATTTTTTATATAACTTTTTAAAATAAAGCCTTTGGCTGTCTCACATTAATTCACCTGATATAGTTTTTCTTTTAATTTTATTAATTTTCATTTTTCTTTTAATATAGATATCACTTCCCTAGTATAGTTTCTACCTCTTACTATGTTATGGACTAACAGGCCAATGAGACTATGCTTGGAAATAACTGAAAAGGTGGGCGGCTTCTCAAGTGGGAGTTTCACATAAAAATAAAAAATAAAAATAAAAATGTTTGGTAATTGAGTAGTCTTTTTTAATAAAATGTCAGATAGTAATTCAATATTGTTATAATTTTAGTTATTTTAATAAAATTAATTAAGTAAATTAATAGGTTTTGGTTATATTTCGATATATAAAAGTTTCGGAAATTTTGGATCAGTTTTGAGTTTCGAGTTTTGGGAAAAAACACCCATCCCGAAACTAAGTTTCGGTATATACCAAAACCTAAAGGGTTTTGAAAAGTTTCAGTTTGGGCCCCACTGGCATGTTTAGATTATTGGCCATTGGGATTGTATTATTAGGAATACTGAATACAGTTAAACTTTTATATAATGATATGTCAAGACATATATGAAATTTTTAGAAAATATCGTTATATCAAAGTTATACTGATATTTATATGTCCTCACATATAGTGGAAAAATAAAATTTTATCAGTATAACAAGTTTTTAATAGTATATTGATATATCAAAGTTAGACTGTATTCGTTTATAGAATCATTAATTGTCAAATTATTAGGTTATTTGAATTATCATATTGTTAGGATCAAGTGGTCATTAGGCTTGAAATCATTGGGTCATTAGAAGCATTAGATTTGTTAGTTATAAAAAAAACCAAATTAACTGCAATAAATATTGAAGTTATAAATGATAAAGAATATTGTATGCTATGTATTGAGCACAACTGCTTAAGCTAAATAAATTCAACTACAAGAATGTTTGTTAGTTTTATTTGGTTATTTCATTAAAATTTGATGGAGTTCATAATTCATTAAAAAATAATGTAAGAAATTCATTGGTTTAAATCAAAACTTTTATTTTTATTATAATCACATGACCTGTGTTTACACATGTAATATATAAATAGAAATCATCTAACTCTTTTTACCATATTAGTCACTGGACATTTCTGGCAACAGGGATGTCAAATGGATTTACTAATTAAATATGCAGATTGTTGATCACTTTTTTTACTATGATTTATTAGTGTGAACTTTAATTTTTATCCAATAAATATGCGTAAAAAATTTTTTTTTCTTACTCTCTAAGTTCTAACTGACACGTCGATATAATTTTCCAAGGGTTGTTTATTAATAACAAGTTAGAAGAATCTCTACTTGAAGTTGGCTATTTTTTCGTTAAAATACTATAAAGTTACAAACATATAGAATATTTTTCAAACTATAAAAGCCAATTTAACCTTCAAAATTATACTACTTCTAGTGCTCCTAACAGATCGGTTCAGACCGGATTCAGCTTAAATCTGATCCGATCTGATTTTTATTTTAATAGATCTGATCTGATCCAAATCCGATCAGATCTGGTTCAATTTGATCTGAATCTGGTTCAGATCCATTTGAATCCGATTTGAATCTGATCCGAATCTGGTTTGGATCTGGTCCTTGTCCTAAAAAAAGGAAGGGAACGTTAATTACGTTCCTCAAGTAAAAAGAAAAAAAACAAAAAAAAGAAACGAACTTACCATAGTTCGTTCTTTTTTTTGAATCCTGGTCGTTCAGCTTCGTCTCACGTCCAGGTTTCTAAAAAAAAAGAAAGGAACGTTAATTACGCTCCCTAAGTAAAAATAAAACAAAAAACAAAAAAAAGAAATGAACTTACCATAGTTCGTTCTTTTTTTTGAATCCTGGTCATTCAGCTTCGTCTCACGTCCAGGTTTCCTAAAAAAAAAGAAAGGGAACGTTAATTACGTTCCCTTAAGTAAAAAAAAAATAAAATAAAATAAAAGAAACGAACTTACCATAGTTCGTTCTCTTAAATCCTGGTCATTCCTTCGTCTCACGTCCAGGTTTTCTAAAAAAAAGAAAGGGAATGTTAATTACGTTCCCTTAAATAAAAAATAAAAAATAAAAAAAGGAACGAACTTAAATCCTGGTCGTGTCGTTAGGCTTCGTTCATCCAGGCTTTCTACTAAAAAAGAAGGGAACCGTTAATTACGTTCCCTCAAGTAAAAAAACAAAAAAAAAGAAACGAACTTACCTAGTTCATTCTTTTAAATCTTGGTCGTCCGGCTTCGTCTATTCGTCCAGGAAAAGTTTTTTAAAAAAAAAAAAAATTTTTTTTTTTTTATTTAAAAAAAATCTGATCCGAATCTGTTCAGATCAGATCAGATTTTCTTGTGTTATGATTTGATCTGATCCGAAATTGATCAGATCAGAATTTTGAAAACCGAACTGGATCTGACTCGGATCAAATCTGCGGATTCAGATCAGATCAGATTTATTTCGGAGCACTAACTACTTCTATTTAAGATCTCATTTTTGAACAAAACTAATATTATTTTAATTAATGGCCATCATATACTGTAGTTCACCCTCTCCATAGTGAATTTTTATATAGTGAATAACGCTATAATAAAGAAAAGTTCAGGTACAGATTTTTTTTATATATAATAAATTGACCCTCAGTATAGTGAATTTCTCACTATAATGAATTTTAATCTCCAGCCCATATCTGATGTGGAAAATGGATAATAGAAAAAAGTTGTTGATTAGTATAGGTAAAATGCTGATCAATTGGATACCTACCCGATTGGTAACTTTTTTTTTGATCGGTTACCTGATTTATTCAATAGTTAGAAATTGGTGTACACTTCAATCAGGTATCAATCAGGTTAATACCCGATTAATAACTATCATTCAGTTTAAATTTACCGATTGATTTCTATTGTTTCAATTAGACTATTGATAAACTATTTTTCTTTAACTAAAATTAAACTATTTTATACTATTGAAATTTACACTAACATTTTTTTCAAACATTTACTTTTGAAACTTAAAAAAAGTTTAAACTATTTCATACTATCTTTAACATTTTTTTTCAAACATTTACTTTTAAAACTTTTAAAAAAATTTTTTTTTTTAGGAAATTAGTTCTGTTTTGGATACTAGAATCCCACAAAAGTTTCAAACATTTTACTTTCAAAACTTTATTAAACTGAAAAAACCATTTATTTGAAAATATTAATAAACGATTTTTAACATTTTTTTTTAACATTTTATTGTAGGAAATCGGTTATAATGAATCCCATAGGTGAGTTTCGAAAAATGATTTTTTGAAACTCACTTTTTTTTTTAATATTCAATTGTAGGGAATCGGTTATAACGAATCCCATAGGTGAGTTTCGAAAAATAATTTTTTGAAACTATTAAAAAATGTTTTTAACATTTTTTTTCTAATACACTATTATAGGAAATCAGTTACAATGAATCCCATAGGTTAGTTTCGAAAAATAATTTTTTGAAACTATTAAAAAACGTTTTTAACATTTTTTTCTAATACACTATTATAGGAATCGGTTATAATGAATCCCATAGGTGAGTTTTGAAAAAATTTTTCAAAACTCTTTTTTTTTAATATACAATTATAGGGAATCGGTTATAACGAATCCTATAGATTAGTTTCAAAAAATAATTTTTTGAAACTATTAAAAAACGTTTTTAACATTTTTTTTTATTATTCAAATATAGGGAATCAGTTACAACGAATCCCATAGGTTAGTTTTAAAAAATAATTTTTCGAAATTATTAAAAAACATTTTAACGTTTTTTTAAAACGTTTTTTTTAATATTCAATTATAGGGACAAATCCCATAGGTAAGTTTCAAAAAATAATTTTTTGAAACTATTAAAAAACGTTTTTAACGTTTTTTTTCTAATACACTATTATAG